ATTTTAATGGCAATATATATTTTTTTACAAAAAAAAGAGTCAATTTTAAAAATTATCACCACAATTTTATTTTTATATTTAATAACAATATATTTACTTAATTCAAAAATTTTAGTTTAGTTTAGGCATTATCAACACACTTTCTCCTTTTGCGCCAAATTTTTTGTTCAACCCTTTAACTAAAAACACCCTCCCAACATCTCGATCATTACGTTTTCATACCAACTTTTTCAAGGGTATATTCATCATATAAAAAAAAAAAGATATCAATTTAACTAATATTCACATGTTTAAAGCAACTACAGAAACCCTAGCTAACTCTGCATCCCCCCAACTGTTCCTTTCCAATCACTCTTCCCATTTCTCCTCAACTCTCTCGCTAACTCTTATTCTTCTTCACTAATCGCCGACGATGAAGACATGGCTGATTTGTCCTGTGTGCGTGAAGGAGTTGTGTGTGTGTGTGTTATCTTCTAAATGAGTATAGAGTAGAGCTTGCCAACGATCAATATCTCCAAGTGTTGGTGCATATTCATATTGTCTATCTTGTTCCTTATAGAAAAAGATTTATCATACATATGAGCATTAATTATTACACCTAGAAGTCCAATAAGCTAGGAAGTGAATCTTTTAATCAAGAGATAATTATAAGTACTATTAGCTCTAGTTATAAAGAATTATGTTTTCTAGTTCTCTTTCTATTTAAAGCAATTCCTATACCACAAATATTTTACCGCCTATAAATCATATTTTCTAAAATTTTAATTTTTATTTATTTTTTAAAATTTAAGATTACAATGCTAGCTTATGATAATGTAATTCATAATTACAGAATGCTTATATAGAAAGAAAATATTATCATTTATGGTGATTGGTCATCTATCTCATGAATTGACTCATTTCAAAGCATTGTTGGTCCAGTGGAATAATAATTCTTGAACTATAATTTTTTTATTGTTGCTAACCTAAAAAACAATTAAATAAAATAATTCTATAAATAATTGAGAATGGCTTTAGAGGTGTTTTATATAATTAATCTTAAAGAGTCTACTCGCTTTGGGAGCTAGGCTGATCAATCCAAATTCCTTACCTAGCTTGTTATAATAAAAAAATCCCCCATATAATCTTAACTGGTATTATCATTACTCTTTTCTATTTAGCATCCTTCATTGCACTCAATAAATTACCTAGCATATAATTGAAATGAGGAAAAACATGAGCTTGATGGGATTATAATACCAAACATTGATTTGATGATTCATGTTAATCACAAATTGGAGTTATGGTCTCTAAAAAAGCTTTTAGTTTTGAATTGTTTATAGAATCATTATCATTTTCACCTTATATTTCCACATTATTACATACTTCTACATGTTGTATATCTATACAATTGCTTATTTATGCATGCAACATGTTCACTTCATCATCTACTCTACGGAAAGATGATAAATTGACTAATTTTATAAATAATATTAAAATTTAAAAACTTACACAACAACCGCTGATAATTTTACAAATTAAACTACCAATAATCATTAGAACCACATTCATTGTCATCTTATCTTCCACTTTTCTTCTCACCGAGAAGTGTCGGAGCAACTCAAAAATGGCCTCTTTCGCCCTCTCCTCAGTCTCCCTCATCTCCCCCACCACTTCCTCCTCCTCTCTCCCTTTTCCTCCCAAAACCCTAATAAACCTTCCCTCTCGCCACCGCCCCCATCTCCGCCTCACCCCCATCTCAGCCGCCACCAAAATCGAAGATCTCGGGACCCAAATCGAAAACCTAACTCTAGCCGAAGCCAAAAGCCTCGTCGATCTCCTCCAAGAGCGCCTCGGAGTCTCAGCCGCGGCCTTCGCAGCCCCGGCCGTTGCGTTTCCCTCTAGCCTCGCCGGCGCCTCCGACGCCGCTGCTCCAGCCGCCGTGGAAGAAAAGACGGAGTTTGATGTTATCATCGAGGAGGTGCCGAGTAATGCAAGGATTGCGACCATCAAGGTTGTGAGGGCGCTTACCAGCCTTGCACTTAAGGAGGCGAAGGAGCTCATTGAGGGCCTTCCGAAGAAGTTTAAGGAGGCAGTGAGTAAGGATGAAGCAGAGGATGCAAAGAAGAAGCTCGAGGAGGTTGGTGCTAAGGTGTCCATTGCTTAGAGCTGCCATTTTTGGTGAATTGAAAATGCCTGATCATTCATGGCAAGTTTGACATTTGTTTTAAATATATATATATGAACTGATTTTATTGAATTACTTGCTTTGATCTGTAGTTTATTAGTACTAAATTTTTCCGTGTGCTTCTCCTGCTGTTTCAGATTCTGCGGAGGTAAATTTCTGTAATCTGATTCAGATAATGTAATTGCAGATTATTTTTGTCTCTGGATATTGCTTCCATTCTGTTTCTAGAAAAATGAGATGTTTTTTCCTTTGCTGAACTTGATTTTCTAGCTGTAAAGCAGTTGTTCGGCAGTAAAAAAAATTAAAAAAAAGGAAAAAAAAAAGTTTTGAAAGCGTGTTTCAGTATTTGTTTGATAGAAAATTAATAATAATTTGTGATTATTTTAAAATTTTGTCTTAATGATTCGGTGTATTTGCTCTTTAAAGCAAGAAGAGATGGATTCAATGGTTACAGAACTCTCAGCCAATGAAACTAGCTTATTACCATAGAAGGGCAGAAATCAAAATCTGCTAGAAATGCTGTAACTTAAAAGATAAATTTGTAGAAAACTTCCAGTAGTTTGATCTTTAAGGATAACAAATTTTAAAACTTTGTCAAAAATATCATTAATAAACCCTAAATCCTAAATATATGTTGGGGTATCTTGAAACCTAGCGCATGTTTTTGTGTTGTTGAAACCCTGGCAGACATACTATGGTGTTTTAAAACCCTAATATTATTGTTAATGTTCATTATTAAAACCTTTATGTTGCCCTTAGAATGTGCCATGATACCTTTTCATAAGAAGAACAAGGTTTAATAATTAATTATTTTTGTGTTCCGATTTCAAGAAATGAACTTCTTATTAAACTTTGTATGAAACCCCCTATCACAAACAGAATTAGTTATAGAACCTCACCTTATCTAACTTTGTGAAAATGATAGAAGTTTTTAGTGATTACCTTTGTATGGAACCCTCAGGACCCTCTGATAAATATACTTTGCTAGTTCTGATAGAGCTTGAAAGCTAAGATTTTATCAGAGTTAGAGTTGAGCTCAGCCATAAGCACTCACTAATAATCAAATTGGCAAATGATGTTGAGATGCATCCTATATCTGAAATAAATTTAACATTTTCGCAATCTCATTTCTTAAAAGCTTCCAACATGATGAATACAAATGCGCACAGGAAATCACTTTCAAGTTCTCAGAAAAATATGTTCGAAGGAGCATGCATCCTTCATACTGAAGAAAGGGAAATAAGGAATTTTGTCATTATGAATGTTAGATATAAACTTGCCAGAAATTAATGAATATAATAGGTGCTGTTATAGTTTTTTTTGTTTTTTTTAATTGAGCCTTAATAGTAGGACTAAAATTGCTGTTATATTTTGAAATTATCCTAGGTAACGGTAAATCGTCATAGAATCTGAGTAACTTGAGGATCTCTTCGCTTTGAGTGTCTTGATAAGCTCTGTTGCAGCAATGAACTTGGCAAGTTCAACTTCAGCTTGACAAGAGCCTTCTTCAACTTTCTATAAAGCTTTGCGAGATATTGTTCCTTGCAGCTCTACTTAATGGTTCAAAGTTTTCACCTGCAAGCAATCCATGCAGCAATTATGTTCAATCACAATCATGGGAACAAATAGATGAAATAAGATGGAGATAGCTTAGTTTCTGAAGTAATAATATACATTATGCTTATCTGTCTTTTCAGCTTTTAAGACTTCCCTGTCCAAATCTAGAAAAATCTAGAGCTGCAGATTTTGAAGGTCTAGATTTTCATGTGCATGGAATTATAGATCTAGAACTTTCTAGTACAGGTGGTAGCTTGAGTTCTTATCAATAATGAACCAAAACATTAAATGTATATATTTCTCTATTTGATTTAACTAATACCCCATGAGATACAAAACACCTGCAGTCCTTCAAAAGGGCCAGAAATCCTCTTAGGCATCCTGTGGTTGGCATCACTGCCATGGCCAAGAACTGCAATGTTATGGTTGGCATCACTTCCATGGCCAGGTAAATAAGTTATCTATAGTGGTTATGCAACAAAATCAACATTGCTTGGAGCTAATGATTCAATCAGTGTAGGAATTGTTAGATATGGATAGCATGCATACCTCTACATACTGAGAACAAGAATACTAAACTGTGTACTCCAATACTTTATACCTAGCTTTTTGTCATATATCATCCGAAACTAATAATTTCTCCAAATAGCAAGGTTGACTTTAGTCAGTGTTAAATTCATGTCCAAGCTCATCACCAAGTTCTCCATCCCATGTAAATACCTATCCTTGTAATCTGATGAACTTCTGAAAGTCTAAAGTTTTTGGAAGCATGATATCTGCTTATAAGGAAATTAAAGGTGCATCACATGTAATAGCTCTTATTGCCATTCAATTATTATTATTGTTACTTTCTTATAAATATTCATAATAATCAAGTGCACCATACCATCGCAAAGGCGCGTATATATTGCTAGGCCCTCAATTTTAAACCCCTTTGATTATGTTTCTCTCTGATATGTTTCCTTTTTAGTAGCTCTAAGCTGTTCAAACTTATCAAACACAAGTGTCACTTGATTCCAATCATTATTCACTAATCATTATCATTTTAAATCCATCAAAATTACATTCCACTTACTCAGTTTTTTTTTTTTTCTATAAGAAAAGTGTCAAATTAGTTTCCTAATTTTTTGTTCTAGAGTCTATGAAAGTGTCACTCTTTTAATAAGTGCTAAAATGGCCATAGTAAAAGAAAATAGTGATTAATTTAATTGTTATGGACTATTGCCCCATATAAATAATCAATGGACTTATTTTGACACTTTACTCTTTACTCTTTATATTGCTAATGACAAGCTTTCATTTAAATTTAAAATATTTCAAATATAATATATTTAAGTGTGCTTCATAGTTAGCACCCTAAATAAATTGATATTTACAAATCTAGCATCCTCTTTTATCCATTTTTTAAATTTCACCCTAATATCAGAATTCATGATAAAACCCCAACACATATTTTTCATTTTTTTATTAATTTTTTAATGGCTTTTCATTAGTTGCAAGAGGTTATAGCAATATTTGAATTTGAATAATTGATAAAAATGCCATTCAAGTATATTTTTGTATGTAATAATATTTGTGGTTATTTTAATATTTTGTGTAAATAGCCATGTTTAGGGTGGTACTGTTATAAATAGCATATTTCGGGTACTCATGTAAATAGATCTATTACAGGGCTGGAGATATTTCACCACGATTAGAAAAAGGAGAAACTGATGAATTATCTTTTTTACAGAAGTATTAAGGAACAGCCGACACAATCGCAGAATGCTGGTTCAGATTTCTTTGACATGACATGAAAAGCTAAAGGGGCAATTTACATACAAAGCATCCGAAACTTTATATTTACAAATCATCCATCCTCTTTCGTCTATTTTTCTAATTCTCAATTGGGGCAGACACTTGTAAAAGCTTTGGTCTGGTAATTAAAAAAAATCAAATAGATGGTTAATTTATAAATCTTAATATTTCAGATGATATGTATGTAATTATTAAAAAAAAAAGCTAATTTTATTTATCCTACATTGGCCATTAAAATTTACAAATTTGTCAACGCAAACTAATAATAATAATAATAATAATAATAATAATAAATAAGGATTGAATGAAAAAATTAAGAGTTATACTGGCAATAAAAATCAGGTTCCGAACATCACAAGCATCTGCACAAATCTAGGGTTTAAACCAATCAGCATGAATCTCGAAGTATCCAACGGATAAAAAAACAAATGAATACTATTAAGAATGGCCTACAGCCAAAAGATTAAAGGTCCATATGCGGAAAATCAAGGGTTTACTGATGGAAGAACAATGATCCATTAGCGGAAGATTAGGGTTTACTAGCGAATGATTAAGGGTTCATTAGCGGAAAATTAAAGGTTTACTAGCGGAAGATCGAAGGTCCGCTAGTGCAACCCCCCTAAACGAGGGCTAGAGGGCGTAGAGGCCGATCAAATGCAGATCCTCCTAATCAAAATTCAAGGCCAATCGAGTTGAGCCGAGGCATTGACCTGCCTCTTGTCATAATCCAACTCAAGAGAAGAATTTAACAACGACAACCATCTCATGAACTCCCTTGAGATTCCTCATCTTGGACCAAGAACTAACCATAATATAATCACATTATATATCTCAAAAAATCGTCTCGTCAAGGAGTGAGCTACCTATCAGATTACGGTGATTCATTCTCTATCTGATGACCTAGCCTTGACTTGACGACAAGAGTTCATTACTCATGGATCAATATTTAACAACTAGGCTAGAATAGCCAACCGACTAAGCCAAGTTGATCAAGTCAAGTTCTACCAGCCCAAATACCATGTAGGGTCGGCCGTCAAACTCGACTCAGGACTCAACACAGTCGAACGAACTGGTCTCGTTGAATCAAGGATCATTGACTTTAGCAGACCGAGTCATAGGGTAATTGAACTGAAGGTCTATACATGTAAAATACCTAAAATTTCTTATAGTGCCCCCATTAAAACATATGTAGATAGGTAATTTCATATATTGTACCACCCTTCTTGAGAAATAAGGGGTTATTTAATGAGAAATGACTAATCAACAATTTATAATAATGTTCATTATTATGTATCTCTCTCTCTCTCTCTCTCTAGTCTTGCACTCTATCCTTTTGGTGTGATACACAAACAGATCATGATTCAACATTCTAAAAGATGTGATGTGTATGGATCATGTCACAAACAAAAAAAAAACACACAGAGAAGAAAATCACAATAGAGACCCTGCTAATAATTGGGTTAGCATTTCAATTATATTATTTTCTTTCCTTTTCCAATTCCATAGTAATTAATTTCAATTTCATCAGAATAATCGAACCAATTATTGTTGGACCAGTTTGATTGCACATTTTACATGATCGGCTCAAATTAATTTTACAATTTTATCATCCAAATATCTAAATAAATACTAGCACAACCTAATGTAAGAAAAAATATTATGTGCACACAGTCGAAAAACCATCCGGATGGGTCACCGTGAGATCCATGGCTGCATCCCGAAATTCTCACTCAAATATCAAAAATTCGAGAAACATTTGCGTGCGTCTAACGCACGCAGAGCTGCGTACGTCGGTAGATTACAGAGCGGGTAT